GTGAGAGGGGGAAGGGAAGACGGAGGCCCTGGGGCGGTGCACAGAGAGAGAGAATCCCAAGCAGGCTTCGCACTGTCAGCACAGAGCCCAACATGGGGCTCGAACTCACAAACCCTGAGATCATGACCTGAGCTGAAATCAAGAGTCGGATGCCTAGAAGACTGAGCCACCCAGGTGCCCCAGTAGTTAAGCTTTTATAAAAGGTTGGTGCAATAGCAATATTTGTAATGAGGCAGGTTGATACATAGTGTATAAATTTGAAAAATCTGAACTCAGTTTTAAATAATCACCACTTTATAAGAATCATTAATTCATCGACTAGCTTATGTATTTTTTCAGTGTTGTCCTCCAACATGTGTGCTTGACCTTTCGTCATGCACACAGAGCTCACCAATTATGAGCAAATTAGTAGAAATTGACGAGTCAACTTCTGGATTTCCTAAGAGTTCCGTCTTCTGGAACGGTGGCCCTCAATCTCCTGTGGGTGTGTTGGGCTGGGTTGGGAGGGAGAAGGGGGGACTCGGAGGTTTCCCTAATGCTGCCAGCCCCTCTCCTGCCTTCTCAGTCTGACCCCGTCTTCATCCACTACCCACGATCCAGGTGCAACAGGCAGTGAGAAGACTAAGTTTGTTCTTGGTATTATCCCTCTTCTTTCTGGGTTTCTTTTTTCAATCCAATTTCTTCTTTCCCCAGGTTCTACTCAAACCTCCTCACCAAAGCATCCACCAAAGCCCATAGTTTTGGGAAGGTCTCATTCTCCCAAATTGTCTTTGACATTGTATTTCCCAGGTGTATTTGCTATTATGAGTGTTCCTACATAAGTCAGTGCCTTAATCTTACAATTGACCCTTGAACCACACAGGGGTTAGGGGCCCCGACACCCCTCCCATGAAGTTGAAGATCTACATATAACTTTTGACTCCCTTAAAACTTGCCTACTGTTGACTAGAAGCCTTCCCGATAAATAGTTGATTAGCACGTTTTGTATATGTATTATATACTGTATTCTTGCAATAAAGTAGGCTACAGAAAATATTATTAAGAAAATCATAAGAGAAAATACATTTGCTGTACTGTACCGTATTTATTTAAAAAAACCTACATATCAGTGGGCCCATGCAGTTCAAACCTGTGTTCAAGGATCAGCTGTATTTTGATTCTGTCTGGCTCTCTCTGCATGAGAGTCACAGGGTTCTACTTTGGGGCAAAGGACTACTAGGTAAGAACGGAATTAGGAAGTCATAGAAGTTAAAAAAAAGAAAAAGTAAAAAGAAGGCATTTGCCATTAGTGCAAAAGAGTGGTTCTTCTTTGCCAAACCTGTGGAGGATAAAATGTGTGAGCGTACAGGAGTTTGACTTGTGGCCTTGAATAAACTCGATATTGAGGTCATACATAATTAACCGCCTGTCTTGCCTTCTTTCCAAAGTGATGGCTCTTACTGTTCACACTTGGGATAACTGATGTTTCCTGAGTCCAAGAGCCCCAGGACTGCCAAGGAAGGAAGAAGAGGCAGCAGCGGTTACATAACCTCGGTGCTACTGTAATGCGATGGGTAATTGTCTTTTTTCTTCTTAACTTCTAGTGCTTGAAGCAGTACCTGCAGCTGGCAATCCGAGAGGGATGCGGGTCTCCCATCTCTTGCCCCGACACGGTGTGCCTCGGCCGCGGGATCCTGCAGGAAGCGGAGGTACGGATGAGTGCCGTGACCTTCCCCCTTTCCTGTTGACATTATTCCGTAGGATCTTGACTCTTTATGTACTTCCCCACCAGGGAGTCTAAACACAAAATACAGAGGCTAACTTTTTTTTTTTTTTTTAATTTTTTTTTTCAACGTTTATTTATTTTTGGGACAGAGAGAGACAGAGCATGAACGGGGGAGGGGCAGAGAGAGAGGGAGACACAGAATCGGAAACAGGTTCCAGGCTCTGAGCCATCAGCCCAGAGCCCGACGCGGGGCTCGAACTCACGGACCGCGAGATCGTGACCTGGCTGAAGTCGGACGCTTAACCGACTGCGCCACCCAGGCGCCCCTACAGAGGCTAACTTTTTAAAGGAGTACTTGATTTCTGCATACCTATGGATCCTTCATATAAGGTGTTAAAGCTGTATCTCAGATCTGTTTATAAATGCCGTCTGAGTGTTGGAGAAGCTCTAGAATGGGCGAAGGTGCTAGAAACCACATTTACCAAATGTGTGCTATGGAGGCTGAGTAACGAGGAGTCTTGTGATCTTTAATACTTTAAAGATAAACAGATGACAGATTTCAACCAGTTATAGACATTAGAAATAGTGCCATCCTACAAAGGTAGACTGAGTCGGACGATTTCCACAGGAGTTTCGTTTGATCTTTGTCCGGCATCAGAAATGTCTTTTTTGAGTGTGTTCTTCCCCCATTTTCTTAAGACTGTGATCTGTCTCTTTGCTTCGTTTCTTCAATCCCTGCTCATTAGCTTGCCCTTGAATCTGCTTTTAATCTTCAAGTCCTGGTCACTTTAAATCAGAGGATAACCAGCTCTTGCCCATTTTGGGGAAGTTTGTAAGCCTGGGAAAGAGGGCCCAAGAAACAGAGGAAATCAGTTATTCGTTCGGCAAACACAGTATGCCTGCTGTGCATCAGGTGCTCTTCTGGAATCATTCGTAGCTGGTATACCATCCAATCCCTTCACCAAACTTAGCAAATGGGAGCCCCGAGGGTTTAAGTAATTTTCCCAAGAGTGCGTATCTAAAAAGTAGAAGAGCTAGAATTCTAATCCAGTTCTTTCTGGCCACCGTAACTATTTGGCTTTAAGAGTGGAATGAGGTAGGGGCGCCTGGGTGGCTCAGTCGGTTAAGCATCCGACTTTGGCTCAGGTCATGATCTCATGGTTCATAGGTTCAAGCCCCACGTCGGGCTCTGTGCTGACAGCTCAGAGCCTGGAGCCTGCTTCGGATTCTGTGTGTGTGTGTCTCTCTCTATCTGCCCCTCCCATGCTCATGCTCTGTCTCTCCCTGTGTCTCGAAAATAAATAAACATTGAAAAAAAAAGTGGAATGAGGTAGGTAGATGATATGATAAAGGACTTGGAGACTCAGTGGTATGTATATGTGTATGTGGAAATATATACGTATATGTGTGGATATGTATGCGTGTGTGGATATGCTTTGTTTACAAATACATATTCTTTTACATATATATCCTTTGATCTGTAAGCTAAACAGTCCAAAAGATGTTAATAGACCCTTTGTAACCATTCTGCATCTGGGTCTCCCATGTTCGGCTTATAGACTATCACTGAGGTGGTGCAAGTAAGCTTGACGTGGTTTTTAGGGAAAAATGAAAAGAACACATAATGGTTTAGAAGTGATTCGTTTTAGGAAAACCATGAAATAATTGAATTTTTTGATAAAAAAGTAATATTGAATACATAATCCTGAGGTGAGAAATCTTGGTTACTTTTGTTTGAGGAAGGGGTGGAAGGAAATTAAAGTGGAGAAAGATTGAGTTAGGTACCAAGGATACTATTGATTTGTACAACTTGGAAATGGGTTTTAAAATAAGCCTTGGGGGTTCAGGAGCATCGTTCTATGTACAGTCCTTCTAGAAAAGATGCTTCCTCTTTGATTTGCTTCTCTGATACTCTCATCAGTGAGCAGTGTTTCCTAAGCATGCAGTGACCTGTGTCAGGTCAGGATAGAGACGCGAGTAAGGCCGGCCCAGCGTTGCCCTCCTGAAGCTTCTGATCTAGCAGAGTGGCAATTAACCTGGTGACAAGTAAGATAGTTCTAGTAAGTCAAATGCCTGACATGAAGCAGGCAGCAAGAGCTGTGTCTCATAGGAAATCCTAGTTAATTTATGTATGCAAAGTCTATTAAAAATAAGTGAAATGAATAGTTTGATGAAGTTTCAAAGGCATTTGAAATGAGCCACATTCCTGTGTTCTGGACCTTGAGCTCTCCAATCCAGTAGCTGCTAGCTCCATGTGGCTGCTTACATTAAAATTAATTAAAATTAAATAAAATTAAAAATTCATTCCTTTGGTTGCACTAGTCATGTTTCAGGTGCTCAGTAGTAACCACATGTGGCTCATGGTGGCCCGATTAGACACCACAGAATACAGCATCTCCACCATTGTGGAAAGTTCGGTGGCATGGCGGGTTCTAGACTTTTAAATGGATGGTAACCACTAGCCACGGATACTTGGGTTATCAAATGTTAGAGCCCATGTGTTTAGGCGAGTGAGTGAAGACGGTCCGTGGTTTGTTTTGCCGTTCTCTAGAACAGAGTTCGACTTTTCTGATTTTCTTAGTATAGAATTTTCTTTTCACACTCCCCTGCAGTTCTCACCCCTGTCTTATTTCTTACCCTTTTCCTGTTGTACATCCTCATTCACACTTCCCTGGTACTCTGTGTACCCAGTTTGACTCTCAAAATGGTTTTAACTTTTAGGCTGTACGGAAACCAAACAAACCCATAGTGTCTCTTAGAAATTACCAAAGGCTATTTGACAAAAAACCGAACAAAAACATCCTCCAAACTAAAAACTATGGTTATTTCTTCAATTCCTTAAAGTCTGTTTCCCATTAGGTGAGCAAGAAGGCACCCAAGGCATTAAAGGACCGTTTCTGTACCCACTTGCTGAAGAGCCTGACTAAAGATGGGCACGGATGTGTAGTAATCAAAGTTCCTAACCAACTGGCCACTTGTGTTTTCCCGCAGAGTAAAATATTGTGAGGGTAGTAGTGACAGTCTCTCATTTTGAATTGAGACATGAATAGGGTATTATGTTAGAGATATTTGGTAGCTTTATCAGTTTATATGGGGCCACTTGTTTTTAAAAGTTAATTTTTAATTCATTGATTAATTTGGAGACTGTGAGCAGGAGAGACAGAGAGAGAGAGAGAGAGAGAGAGAGAGAGAGAGAGAGAGAGAGGGAATCTTAAGCAGGCTCCATGCCGATGCAGAGCCCAACGTGGGACTCCATCTCAACTTGGGATCATGACCTGATCCGAAATTGAGAGCTGGATGTTTAACCCACTAAGCCACCCAGGCATCCCTGGGACCACTCCTTTCAAAGCAGATACCACATACACGTGAACTTGGGCTGGACCATCTTCCTTTCTGGCTTCATTTACATCAAGCTTTCTCTTACATAGTTATTATTATAATAGATAGCTCTTAATCCAGATATGATCAAGTATATCACAGTGGCGTCACCCAACTCATTGCTTGACTGGATTCTGTCTCTATAACTACTTACTGTGCCTTTAAAAAAATGTTTAATCATACAGGTAATGTGGAGACATACTTTGCATGTTAAAAATAATGATGGTTAAGACTCAAGTTCCCTTGGTGCTGCTGCTGTTTATGTTTCCATGTGCATGGTTCTTCATCATCCATTGTCTTCTAAGATGCATGGTAGCGTAACATGTCTTTACCTTCAGGGGACGCCAGCAATTTAGGCTCTTTTCTCCAAATGCTTTCCAGTGTAGATCTCACTCACATGGTTGCCTGTGCTCCTGGCGTCCGCCTCCTGTTCGCTGTGGGTCCTGCCTGCCTTCCTACCGCTTCCTATGAGCTCAGCTGTGGCTCTGCCCCTGCACTTTTGTTTATCAGGAGTAGCTTCATTAGCAAGACACTTACTGCCCCATCCAAGTACCCTTGGCTTATGGAGGAAACAGAAAAGGCATCTTTTCTTGCACGTCACGCGAGTTGGTGGGAGGCGGTGGCTACAGGTCACCCCGCTGGGGGCCCCGGAAGAGTAAAACTTGGCCTTCCTTGCACCATCAGGTACTGCCGGCCGTGGCAGGGCTCTCCTCACGTACTTGACCCAGGAATCGTGCCCAACATGGACTTACGAGAGGTGGGGCACAGATTGTTTGCTCATAGCTCTACTTCAGGCAAGTCCTCCCCTGGGAGTTAGTAGCCCTGTTCTAACGGCGATGACTAATGGAGCCCTTCCCTCACAGTGGAAGGGAAATAGTACCCGCCACTTGCTGGGGAAGCCCGAGCCGTGTGTCTGGGGCCTGTAAAGTTGGAGTGGTGAGCACATACCTACCATTACATGGCCTGAGTGATGGAGCTTCCTCTCTCTGCCAGCTGGCAGTGGAGGGCTGAGAACAGCTTCTCAACAACCAGCCCTCCCTCTAGCTCCTGGGGCATTGAAATGACCCGCCTGCATTTGGCCGCTAGAGCCCCCACATGCACCAGAGCAAGGATGCACCAAGAATGGGGGCTGCAGAATTTCTACAAGAGGGGCTTTAGGGTGGGGCACTGTGGAGGACCAGGAGAGAGGAACGGGGGGCAGTGGCGTGCTAAGGAATTTGAAGCTACGTTTGCAAAATAAATACGGTTTTTACTCCTGTTGCGTGTTTATTGGGGTGGCTTCAGTAAATGTTGATGGAATAAGAGCGATCCGTGTGTTCCCCACAAAGTCCCCGTCAGCACAGCCCCCACTTGCCATCTCTTCTCACACTCTTCCTTCGTATCATCAGTGTGAGGTGGGGCAGAGAGGGAGGAGGAGGACGCCCAGGCAGGCAGCCAGAGCGCTGTTGCTGCGGTTGAAAGATCTGCACGGGAAGGGACCAAAGTGTGTCTGTCATAACCTTTGGCTGTGATGCATGTTAGCCTGAGAAGAGTCGAAACTTGGGGTGGCAACAGATAAAGAAATCTGCTATGCCAGCGTTAATAGATATTTTTGAGATTCCCAGT